GCGGTCTCTTAAATCCAGCTCTTGTGCTGGCAGGAACAGAAACGTACTATGGAATAAAATGGATTTTTTTTTACTGCTTGTATTTCATACTTATTTACATGCTAGATCTGATCACAGATAAACAAACTAGAAGGGTCCATTATGCATATGGTGTAATAAATATTTACATGAGGGACTGTGAAGGCTCTGGTCTGAGTCATATATACATCTGCATTAAGAGGAGGAAATCAAAACAAACTGGGTTGGATCACCTTCTGTCACTGCATTAAAATTAAATACGCCAGGCAATGAGCACCTAAGGCACAGGCTCCTTTGCTGAATTCATTCCTCTGCTCTTTCGTTATCAGATCCAATGAGTTAGAGAGCACCACTGACCACCTGAGTTTCCTCGGGGCTTTGTAAACACATCCATTTTGCCCCTACAGAGGCACAGGAGAGAACCTGTATGTTAAGTGACAAGGACATTTCACTCCTCGGCAGACTACTCAGCTTAACCCACACACCATGACCCAAAGCTAGGCTTTGGAGCCAGAGTTCCCACGCTCTTGCACCGACTCCAAAACCAAGCCCAGATTCCTCCTGCCCAGATGAGGAGTTAAATTGCTGTGGGCTCTTCGTATACGTGATGGGGAGAGATGGGGTCCTTGAGAAGGAGACCTGGAGCCTGATGTTAGAGGTCAGTTGAACGTGTCCATCTCACTCTCTATGGCTCACGGGGGTGGCTACCCTAAAAATGTATATGTGAGCATGTCAAGTGCCCTGAATAGGATCAAGGATATCATTCTACTAAATGATAAAAAGGGTAATTGTTTTACATCCAAGTTCTTCCTCCTCAGTCTCCTAATTAGATCATTACCTTGCACTCAGATACAAGTAGGAAAAGGCCATTTTTTTAAATTGGCTTCTCTTGCTATAAACAAGTCTCTCGGAGATGCAGGCAGAGGCAGCTGTAAACAGCACGATAAAGGGGCAAAGGGCTCACTGGGCTGAGGGATATTAATGGTTTGTTGCTTGCGAATAACCCTTTCCCCAGAGACCTCCCTATGCTCTGTGTATTGTCTCTGCACATGCTGGCAGCAAAGTGGAGGCTTTATTAAGAGAGTTACAAATAAGGTCAAATTCCTTTAGGAGCTTTTCAGAGTTCCCAAGGCATTCAAGGAAGGGTCCAGCTGTTTGCAGGGGTTTCCCATTACGGTCAGAGACACAAGCTTCAGCATGTTTCCAGTTAAAAGAGGATCCTAGCAGATTTTCTCTTTAGCATGACAGGGATAGGATGGAGTTCTTCACAATAACTTTCCCTTCACAGATGCTAAGCACATTCGTATAGACGTTAGGCAGCGAGAAAGCATGCATTGGGCATGGCATGGTGTGTGAAGTCTGACTTGGGGATCTTATATCACCCAAAAGCTGCACAACGATGGCTGGGTTATGCAGGTGTTAAAGGGCTGCAACATCATGATACCTCAGATCCCTCCACCTGAGCACCTAACATACCTCATGTCCCTGCAGAATCCAAGAAACTCACCATTAGTGGACTTGATCTCCTCAACACTCCTACAGGAGTACAAGGTCTTGCTTTTCAAGGCGGAAACAACATAAATTAAATTATTCATTCCCTTACCTTATGACTGAGTCAGAAATATGTACAATGCTCTATTAGGCCACCCCTCCTCCCTATCTTAGACCTCAGTTCTGTAAAAGCCTTTTCTGTAGGAGCTGTAGATTTCTAAATTCAACCCAAATGTACATTTTGTCCACAGAAAAAAAATGGAATAAAATTTTCTAAACTGTTTTTCATTAGGAAACGAAGAAAAAGTACCCTTCCCCACTTCCAGGGCAAGTGTAAGTTCTTCACTCATCAAGAAACTCATGCGGCCTGGATAAAAATAATCACTGCAAACTTGTCCAGGACCTACTTCCCAGGAAAAGGCTCTTTGCCAAGGCTCAGACTTGACGCAAATCATCAGTCCTGTGAAATTCAAACAGAATAAATCTTCCATGTGCAGAACATAGCTGGGTTCTGCCTTACGGGAACTGGATGCTGCCGTGAAGTCTGAGTCATATGGTCATGTTTGTAAGATCAGCTCCTTGCGAATGTCTGGGATCAAAGGCTGTCACGGAGCAGCCCTCCCTGTATCGCAGGGCTGTGGAAACGTGCAGGGAAACATTCTCTAGCCAGAGAAAGCTTTGATTTATAGGCCGTGATGTTTTCACCTGCTCCTGGAGGAACAGAGTTGCCTGCTGGGCTAGGCAGGCCCGTGGCAGCAGTACGGTTTCTGAAGCAGGTTGGGGGACTTGGCGCGCCGCTCCCACGATTGCTAGTGGCAGCTGGGAGCACAACCGCTCACTTCAGTGCTGTGGACTCACGTATGACTGTTCTTTCTTGCAGCGTGCCAGAGGGAAGCATGGTGTGAATGTGCTTTTGGCTGATTTGGATTGCAGATGGATCCTACAGTGGTTTCTCCTGTGGGGCCAAAAGAGGAGTGATAACCACAGCCACAACTCACCTCCGCTTTTCCTGCACCACCAGAGCTCTGTCCTGTTGCATCAGCTCATGCAAAATAGATGAAGGGAAGGTCACAATAAGCAGAGACTGCCCATAGCACTGGCAGCATCATGCCAAGGGGATCAGCGAGCTGTTGCTGAACACACTTAGCAGACCTGGACAAACACTCTCAAATATAGCTGGGTTGTGTGGGATTGCCACGGGGAGTTGAAAGACCACCTGCTCACTCATATATATTTATCAAAGCTCCTCACACCCACCCTCCACTCTGAGGATTTCATCATGCAGGGGAACATCAGCATCAACAGCTATACTGTGCGTCTCTCACACTACACACACGGTGTGAATGGGAAAGCCTGGGGAAGGCACTGCTCCATGGCGAGTGCCTCACCTCTCACCCCCAGCCCTGCAGGGCATGCAGCCAGCCACTGCCCCACAGACACTGCCCACCCTCCCTTTGCCGATATACAGGCAGGACACCCCTGCCCCCCCAGCATCCCAGCAGCACCAGGCTGACTTCACAGATACCTGCGACCAAGCAACTCCAAAGATGCAGATATTTGCTCCTGTCCAACAACTCAGTCATCTTTAGCATCAGCCCGCAGCTTACAACCTTGCACAGGATTTCAGTGTAAAGCTGCCTCAGCATTCCCACCACTACCTTGACATTATATTGTCCTGTACTGAGCCTGCTCTTGTAACCAGTTTCACTGAAGAGCTGACGCTGGAGGAAGGTCCTGCCTCGTCCCAGCAGCAGGCTGCGTGCTACACTCCAGGATCTGATACTTTATTTCCTTGGGCAAACATCCGAATTTGTAGAGCTCACAGGGCCAGTTTGAAAACAACGGGGCATCCAAGCACTATAGAGGGTCTGGCACGTGCTGTCACACCTCACTGCTTATTCTCTTAGCTACAGCTTTGCTCTCCCGGCTTCACTGCCTCCCGTCCTGTTTGCTAGTGCCACATACCCTGCTCTCAGCCAGGACTTTGTATTGCAGCAAAGAAGAGTAGAACTTTACCCTTTGTGGCTTCAGATTGAGTTTTGCTTCACGCTAACATTCAAGAGCAGGTCCTGGTGCTAGTACTTTGTCACCGGTACATGCCTGTTTCTGCTCTCTCAGCAAGGACAAAGAAGCGGTTGCTCAGGTATACACTAGAAACCCATCAAGTTTCGCTGACTCGGCAAGTTATCACCCAGGAGCCGAACCGCCACAGCACCAGCGTGCACACTCTTGGCCCATCCCAAACACCACATGAAAGAGGTCTAGGCTAACCTGTTACACATATCTGTTTCAGCTTCTGCTCCCTGGCAACTGGGGGATAACAGGAGTGCATCCAGGGACATAGGAGAAGACAGGACATAGGAGAAGATAGGACATATCAGAAGATAGGAGATAACTTGCTAAAGGACCATGACTCCTCCTGCCATGTGTCTGAACATGGGACTGGGTAGGAGACCCTGAACTACGCAGCTGTGCTGCAAGTGCTTGGATTTTCCCGGCTACACAACTAAGGCATTCACCATGCTGCACAAATAACCTGACTGGCCTGATTCCACCTGCGGTTTCCTACTGACACCCATCATCTGCATATCGTATTTCCAAGCAGTCACTTCACATGCTTCCATTTGAATAGCATTTAACCCCTTAAGGGCACTGGATCAGCAGCTGTGAAGCCAAAGATCCCCAGGTACAGCTGAACAGATACCAGCACCAGCAAAAGCAGCAGCTCAAACTTCCTTTAAAGCCTCCTCTGAAGCTTTTCCCCCTCTAGAGGCGATTCCTTTGGGAAACCAGTTAATTCCCTCTCACCTCTGCAGAGAAGGATGATGAGGAACGCTGACCACAGGATTTTACACTGCGGACATATGCTCTCTCTGCCACAGCCTAAAATACTCAATCTCATTTCACACTGGCTCAAGAACTGACAGTTCTAGCGAATATTTTTAAATTTATTGATCTTACCACATGAACATAAGAGACTATGATAGCTTGAGAGTAAAGAAGCCACTTGAAGGCACTGTAAATCGACCATAACATGATGCAACTTAACAACATGGTTTTTTAATTTTCATCCCCTTGCTTTAACTTCAGTAAAAGTTTAAATGTAATGTCAAGGCTTGACTTGGCCACAGATGGTCCACGACACCCACCAATAATATGCTCCTCCATAGTATAGATAGAGGCTCAATGTAGGAGCCACCAGGAGGAAAGAAAGTTGAACAAGAAACTCAAGCATATAATATGATGAATCTCCTAAAAGTCTGCTGCTTGGTAACTTGGCAAGAGCACCTAGCTCGGCCTCAGCTTGGTGCTCATGATGAAGCTCACCACTAGTTAACAAGGTATCACACACCACGAGCGCCACCGTGGCAGGTTGCAAGTGCCAGTCCTGCTTTTCCTAACCAAGATCTGTGCCAGTCCTACCATGACAACAGTAAATGACATCACCCTGCCCAGATCAGCGTGCTCTGTCAAGCCGTTCCCCTGCTTACCAATCATGGGCATCCCTAGGGTTTGGTATGGGCACTCCAGGCTGCCTCCTTGTGTCCTTCCAAAGATAGCAGAGTAAATGGCTATCACCATGCTCTTCTTACAGCTTAGCCTCAGCTTGTCATCTTCACAGGCTACTTTACTCTTGTACTCATCTGGAAGGAAACAAACACTTAATTACTCAGCTGATCCAGAGACGGGCACTCAGCACAAAGGGAGCCCTCTCACCTCCCCGTGGTGTGAGGTTGCCAGAGGCAGCAGTGATTCTGGGTGTACGCCCAGAGATGCACATCAGCTGCCAGCACAATCCCAGCCTTACAGCTGCGTTTGCTGGAGTAGCACTGATCATTTGCATTATGCATTCTCTCTCTCCGGCATTATCAGCACATTTAATGAACATACTTTAACCTAGCACATGTCAGTGCCAGTAAATAGCCAATAATTTCATTTTGCAGACAAATAAGTGAGACACGGCAATTGAGTGATTTCCACATGGTGACATTAGAAGCCTGTGGCAGGGAAAGGTGAAAGCCTGTCTTAAGGCACCTTTAGGTACAGATCAGCCTTTTATGTGCCCTTTATACATTTATTCTACATCACTGCAGCTCAAACGCAAACATAATTATGCTCAATAGCTTTTTTTCACAGCAGCTCTCCCTTGGCAGATTCAATAGGAGCTATACTAAATTTGTTAATGATGGAAGCTGCTCTTGCCTATTGCAAATACAGATATGCAAAGCTGCTCCCCCAAATCCTTCTTGAAATAGTCAGTCCAAGAATGCAAAATACACTCTTGCTTTCGTAAGGCTGGTGCACACATAACAGTCACTCAGTTTACAGCTGTCAAGGAGACTGGGCAATTATTTAATAAGAAATCACAAGTCATTTCCTTCTCTTTACTATTATTATTTGTATTATGGGAACCCCTAGAGGTCCCAACCTAGAACTGGCCCTCCCCATGTACGTCTGCCAACACACCACAGAAGACAAACACTGTTTTGAAGAACTGAGTCTTTTCAGCTGGTCATCTACAAGTGTGAAAGAAAGACTAAGACAACTGAAGTGGCATGCTTATGGTCAACCTAGCCAACCCAGGGCACAGCCAGGAATATAAACTCAACCTCCCCACCCTCCGTAGAGTGACCTTCCACTTGATTATGTTATTTACCGTTAGAAAGGTAGCCACAACAGCATTCAAATTGCTTAATGGGAGCGGTTCCTGACCCACGGTAACCTCCCAAGCACAATCAGTCATTCATCTGAAATGTTCCTAGTTGTACCAGGTCAAAACTCTGCCATAGAGCACACTAACAACCAACCAGTGTAGATAAACATCAGCCAGTGCCTTGGGCTGCCCCTGGCTCGGTATCATTTACTAGCATAGACATGACTTTTGTCTCTCTCTGTCGCTGGTTCTCTATGCCTAATATCATACACACACACATATATGAGAACTGATGCAAAGTACATATACGTCAAGCTACTTGGTAACTGAGAACACTAGCTAATAATTACTTTCTAGATTAATACTTAAGTCTTTACACCATGGCAGCTAGCACTTAATGTGACATTTTTGACTATATTGTAACTATAGGTTCAAGAATCATTTTGCCTGATTAGAGTTGGAGAGGAATTTTCCACCAAAATTGAATCATAGAAGAATGTAGGTTGGAAGACTCCTCAGGAGTCATGTGGTTTAATCTCCGCTCAAATCAGGGCTAATTTCTGCATTAGATCAGGTTTTTTTTCAGAAGAATCTGCATAGAGAAAACATGTACCAAAACAGGCGAGTGCTTATTTAAAGAAATGTCTGAAAACAAACAACTCCTCGTACTCAACTTGAAAATTCCTACTGGAAGTCAAAAATTAGCCCCCTCAAGATAGTCTATTACCTGGTGATCAGAGCATCCACCTGGAGTGTGAAAACCCTGGTCCAAACCCTCACAGTCTGGGTGAGAACCTTAACCCTAGACATTGTTCCAGCACATAATCTTCCTTCTTCCTCCCTAGCCTTTTACAAAAATCTCCGGAAGATCCTACTTTTTATCCCACTGAAGGGAAACTTTCAAACCTCTAAAATATTTATTGAATGAGAAAACACTTTCTCATCCACCCCTGTAGATGAAGACAGAATTAAGACCTAACTCATTCATGGAAGACTGTTTGAAGAACACACATCCTTCAGCAATACCTATAGGGACAAACCCACAACCAGCTGACTGTGTAAAACAGTGACAGAAATCAGGAACAGAAGCTCTTTTCCACATCAGAGTACGGAGAGAGAAAGAGGAACCTCATACGGCTGTGAAGAATCAATCATCATTTTATCTGTGTACGTATTTCATCCACAATCACCATGTAGGCATCTGAATAATACACTTAACATATTAAGCATTATTACCTTCACCTACAGTGGTCTCCCATAGAATTTTTGTTTCTTCTGGGAGGGAAATGGGATCCAAGCTTTTGCCTAGCTACACAGTGTAAAACCTAACAGAGTATGATAGAACTTTATAGACTTAATAGTCTTTTTTCCCTTAGGAAAAAAACATATTCAAGCTAAAAGCACACAGGCATAAAACTCTGCGATAGGACAAACTATACATAGTTTATAAAAGAATCTTTGGAAAGGGAGAATATTTGTGACTGGATGAAGTGGTTGAAATATGAAATAGTTGATTAACTTTAGAAAAAGATCAATTTTGAAGTCTATAATGAGCGAGTGCCAGGGTCCTCTGTGAAGGTCTTATTTCTTACAAGGCACTAACTCAATTTCCTCTTCTGATTTGGTTATTATTAGCTACATCTCCCAATTAACAAGTATAACTGATTGCTTAACCACATGTCCTGTGGACCCATTTAAGGTCCTTAGAATATTTATTAAATTCTGTTGACCGTTCAAAGTCAGAGCTTGTCATTTGGAAACTTGACTGGGATTTAAACACAGTGAGTATTGCGTTTAGCCCAGAAGACACTGGGATGCACAGGCATTCACGTCTCTGCTGAAGGTCAGCCCAGCAGTCATGAGGCAGTCGACAGCAAAACTCTCTCTCTCTCACATTTGCAGTTCTTACCCTTGTAACCGCTCTGGGAAGTCGTGTTCAGAGCTTATGGGGGAAGCTGCCTGATGGATGGCTCGAGATATTTGACCGGGGAGGTGAATCTGAGTGCACACTCCTTGGGAACCAGTACAGTTTATGGGTGATGTGCTCCTGGCACGCTGCGGTCTGGAGTAAAAGGGCTGTGCCACCTGAAACAGATGCCACCTCCTCACGGTCACTAAATTCTGCCCTGGGAAACACCTATGGGAGCTGCCAGTTCCCAAGGCTCTGACTGAGTCCGAACTGGTTAGGGCTGCCACAGACAGAAGACACTGTTTTCTTAAAAGGAGTAAGTAATATTTCAGACTCCCCAAAGGTTCCCTTAAGCTTGATCACTGAAGAACAGATGCTCTCAGTGTTTCTGGGAAACCTGATAGAGATCTGGATAAACAAACAGATAGAAAGTGATGTTACAGAGGACACGAGTTCCCGAAAGTATTTTCTGCTTCATAGCATTGCCACCTCCATCTTAGCCAGGATGAACCAAAGCCAGCTGTCTTTCATCCAGGCACTGATGGCTCCCAGGCACTGGACGACGGTGAGGACTGTGATTGATATAAAGAAAATACAGAGCTAAGCATCACCCATATATTTACTGGTACTTCAACCCATTTTTCTCTCTCACTCTCCCAAGAAGAACTGGCCTCCTACAGATCAGTCACAATCTGGTCCTAAGCCTGCTATAACTGTTACAGTCTGGATATAATTCAGTCCAAATGCAAACATTTGTATTAGTGGGTTTCATGTTTCACCCTGAAAAATTAAACATGCTTAAATGGCCTAGGAAAGGTGGCAGTGATATTCAGCAAATGGCTTACTCCGCTCTAATCCCCCGTGCAGTCATTTGTAGGGCAACAGAGATTTACCGTGATTAAGATATTTGCTAAGGATAATATCCCTTTTATTACTGCCTGTTTTCAGAGACACTGGCTTAAATATAACTCAGTAGAGAGAAACCAAGGAGGGAACAGCTGCAGGCTTTTCTAGACACATTTTTAAAGGTCATTATATGACATGATTATAACATAGTTAGAACAATTGAGGGAAAACAATTATAAATGTTTCTAATGGAAAAATTGGCTCTCTCAAACAGTAAATTGAACAAGAAGACCCTTGGTAATTACAGGATGTGTAGAAGAATACTAAAGTATTGACCTGTAGTAAATACATTTGCCCCGTGTCTTAAGGACATTATCACCTACGGGCCTTAACAATTTCCTGAATGATCATGACAGGTAACCTCAAAACTACATGTCAATTGGCTCAATCTCTGCAAGACCTTAGAGATAAAAGCTCCTAAAAAGATTTTGTGACTAACAAAGTGATGGAATGCATTAATGCCAGAGGTCTACCTTGCCTAAAATTATATTTTTCAACAGAACTTGTGAAAAAAAATGTATTAAATTTTGCTAATCAAAAGATGCATGCTTTGCATAATGAATGCATAGTGGACCCTATTTCCCAGATCAAAGAGCTGGAAATACATGGAAAGAAAAATCTGTCTTCCTTGCAAAATCCTAAAGGGTTTAAATCAGGGATCTGAGCCAAGAAAGAGATTTTGGGGGAAATGGAGATGGTCTTGCCCACTTCCTTATCAGGTCAGGATTACTTCCCATAGAAGACTATCTTACCTAGTTTATAATTCTTAAATTAATGAGACTGCACCCGAGATGCCACTTCAGAACTGAACTGCACTCCATGTTAGCCAATAACTTCTCTTCAGCCCAATTGTTACTTTGCTCACCTTCATCCCAGCTTTGTCAGCTGTTCCACTGCATACCACCCAAAACAAAGCACATTTCTTGCCTTGAAATTCATAACTCTTCATTATATCCAGCCATTCCACCAACACCTGTCTTCTTTTAACTGGTAAATGAATGTGTTTAACTGTTGGGTGACGGTTAGTGTTGGTCTGTGAAAAAGGGCTTAGGGACAATTCACTCTCTCACCCAGATACTCTCTCCAGAACTGTGTTAATGGCAGATACATCTCCAATTCTCTCTGCCACTCTTCCTACCTACATCTCTTACTGCACCTCTCAGACACTGATTGGT